CAAATACTGGTTTTATGTCGAGATGACTGTTTTTACCAATTATTTGGAAAAATACAAACAAATAACTATTAATTGATATATGAGTTCAATATTGGTTAAATATTTGCTACCTAACATGTGMAAATGTGCTTATTGTTATTATACAATTTTAAAATGAAAATTAATTAAATATAATATTTATTATACCTATATCRATTCCTTTGATCTTCTTTGTGTTGTCATAGTTTAAGTTGAAAAGATCCTCAATCCACAGTAAATAGTTAAGTCGTAACGGGATGGTTGGTACCAGTCTACCGACTGGCAAATCCACGTCTAAATCAAAGTCTTTCTTCAACAGTATAGTGGTCAACAATCTGAGACCGTCCTGATTTTTGAAGTCGAAAACGATTTTGCCATTCAAACCCTGTGTTAAGAAAARTTTTCAAACAATACACAACACCGAATAACGGAGGAATAAAAAGTTGCTAAAATTTATTATTTATCAAAATTTTGGAGAAAAAAAATAAACAACTACTTAGGTGTACTTACAACTGACGCGTATTTATTGAACTCTGGATACATTACCGCCAGCTCCTTGAAAGCAGGTGGTGTCCTGTAAATATTTCTAGGGTGCATGAGCTGGTTGTTCGGCATCGTCCACGCTCAACAAGACCGGTGGAGGTAAGTTGCGGGTAAACGGCAATCTGATTAATTTATATAAAAATAATAATATCGACCAACGAGCGTCGTGGTCGCGACAGACGATCGAGACGAATAGGTATTTGGAATTACTGTTTAGTGTCTATGACGAAAATAATKAATAAAAATATCATATCATATCGCGTGTCAGCTTTAGAAACGGTAAAATCCGATATTATCGACTGTATACGTTAGACGCCCAAAATACATTATACAATAATAATATAAATATATGACGCTAAATAAAATATAATGACRAACTCACACGCACAAGGCACAACTGCACGAGCTGGTGTGTAAATATTTACGTTTGTGTGTAAAACCGTCCTGGCTGCGCACGCGCACTGCGCCTATTGTCAAAATGTCAAATATGATTATTCTAAAGCACGTATTAAATCGTTATTGAATTATCGCCAGAACATCGTAGGTTTTAATTAAAATAATTCTGGAAATGTTGAAATAATATTGTTAAATTGTTACGATTACGTATGGTCTTGGATCTGTATTATTGATTTTAAATATTATTATATTATTACGAAATCAATGCATCTATAAGATAATCTGTTTTACCAATCATGTTATCAGTATCGTTGGTGTTTGTGGCCTCTGGTACAACTTGCTTACCAACCACGACCCAACATTAATATTGGAAATGCCTATTTAAACGTGATAACWGATAACTGATTTTACTATTTTAGCCGCTTTATCAGACATTCCCCGATTAGCTTAGCAGTTGCTAGTTCAAGTTCAGGCAGTTCATACTGTCCGGTCCGGTCATTGTCCGGTCGTGTTCTGTGACGTTATTATTATTCTCTGTAGCKTATGTAACTAAAAGTAAAATCGTTCACTATCTCTCACATTATACTTCTCTGTTGTTACAAAACTTTTTATAACTCGGATTTAGTAAAATGGCGTCTTCACAAGGAAAACACATGCCCAAAGACACTCAAATCATTGTGTCGATTATGAAAGATTTGGGAATTGTTGAATACGACCAACAAGTTTTAAATCATCTCTTAGAATTTAACTACAGTAATTATTAATACAACGAAACATATGTGTTGTTTTTCTCTGTTATGAATAGTATTTATTTCATTTGTTAGGATACACAACGTTATTGCTGGACGATGCCAAGACATTTTCAAACTTTGCAAAAAAGAAGAATGTTGATGCTGATGATGTGAAAGTTGCAATACAATTGGCTCAAGATGGAATATTTTGTCGACCTCCACCGCGTGATGTAAGATTAATTTGGCTAAAATCACTTGCAATACCTACATATTGTCAAAGTCAATTTTTCAATTTTATTATGTAGGTAGATTTATTAGATTTTAAAATCATGCAAATTAAGATGTTGAATGATGACAAGACGATGGAATTCTACAAATGTGTTAACTTTATTGAATGTTATAAATGTTTTAGTTTTAATTACAACTAAAGTTGAGACTTAGAGTTAATGACCTACTGTTTTAATTTTTTAGGTATTAATGACAGCAAGTCGCGAAGTAAATAAAATACCATTACCTCCAGTAAGGCCTGCCAGTGGACTGCGAATTCCTCATGATCGTTCAAATTTCTTACAAACAAACTATAGGCTTAAGAATGATTTGGTAATAAAATAGTATATCTAAAATTCTTTTGTTAATTGTGTTTGTTGTATACGTTTTTCAATCAATTTATTAATAATTAGTTAATGTAGGCTATTTTACATAAAATATATTACTAACTATCAAAAGTTCTCGTGATTTTAAGGTAACAATTTCTGACACTATCTTAATGAAGTTTTTTATCAAGATATCAGCTATTAATTTTATGTTGTAGGTTGATATATAAGTATATGTTCATAATGAGATCAGTAGCAGACAGCTATGAGTTTTTGTCCACAAGGGTCAAACATTTTGTCAGACACTTTCTCAACCGAGTCTATATACGAGGCTTAAGAAGCCAAAACCTTGACCACCCGTTACTGATCTCATTTTGAACAAAGTATAGTATATATTTGTAATACCATTGATAGTAATAGTATTAATAACCAATGGTAATACTGATATAAATGTTATGTATGCACTATAAGCTGTCAATGCAATATTTTTTTTATTCATATTAATATTTTTAACATTTTGATTTCTGATAGTATTCTGCAGGAAATATGCGTAAGGACACTAAAACAACAGCTGCAGAAATGTTGGAGGCATCTAGAAAATTAGATATTGAAGAAAATCCTTTCCCGGAGTGTAATAATTTTTATTTAATTATTTAATTTTGATTCTTCTGAATTGCATACTATGTATTAAACTTATAAACTATGTCATATAAAAATGATATTACCCAGGTTAATTATCAAATGTTTTTATATTTAATAATAGTGCATGATAATAACATTATTTGGGTTCCCTAATATAATACATCTTAATTATCGAATTTAAAATAGCATTTTAGAAAAAGGCTGTTATATACCGTCTAAAAATAATGTTTTTATATTTTATCTATTAATAGTAAATTTATCGTCCTGTAAAATTATATTTTTCGGTACTGTGAATTGAATAAATAAACTTAATCATTTAGCAAGATAATTTGTTCATTTAAAAATTTGTCTCCAAAAAGCAGCAATATATTTACCATGTTTCATGATAGTAAGGATAGAAAGCATCTCTACCATTTACCTATTTAGTTACAATAATCGAATATTTAGTGGTCATCAATGATTCACTTGCTATCGGCCAATAAGAAATGAGAGAAATTTTGCCCTTGTGCTTTATCTGGTGTCAGTCTTATGCACAAAACATGTACCTTCTCTTGTGAAACAGTATTATTGGATTATGTTTTTTTTCTAAATTCATCGTGATTATATCTGTAATTATTAATCATTTATCATACTTAGATTTGTGGCAGTTTATTTTAGCAGACCAATTATAAATATTTCTTATTGTATATACTATATACATACCTCAAAACAGAAATATGACATTGAAATATACCTTATTATTTTATCTGGTCTACAGACTACAAGTCAATATCACCATCAATCAGAAGCGGTTTGAGTATACTGTTTTTTGTGCACTGCACCGCCAATGTTAGGGGGGTTGGTTGTCTTGGTTGAGCATGTGCTGACCGCAATGTTTAATTTTAATGTTCAATAA